GAGAGAACCCTGGTATCTCTTCCTCTTTTATAAGGACCCTAGTTCTATCAGCTCAGGGCTCCACTGTCATGACTTCATTTAGCCTTAATCATCTCCTTAAAGGCCCTATCACCACTAGAGCCACATGGGGGGTTAAGGCGTCAACATATGAATTTTGCGGGGAGACAGTTCAGTTCATAGCAGTTGCTGTCATCTCTCACCTGGATTACTCTAAAAGCCGTCTAACTGGGCTCCTTGTTTTTACACATGTGGCGGGCAGTCTATTCTCAGCATAACTTTCTTTTTTTTTCTATGCACTCTGAAATATCTCCACTGGGAGGCAGCACATGACTTTAGGAACAGATAGGGAAAAAAAAAAAAAAAGAGGGGCATACTTAAATGATACCATTCAAAATATGGTAGTTCCAGGCATGTCAGTTACAAGTCAAAGAAAGAGGTGATATTCTGACCCTCCTAATCTACTCCATTAATGGCTCCAAAGCCGGTCATGCATTCAAATATTATTTGCAGCTTCAAAACATTTTAAGTAGTAATGGCAGTGATAATGTCTGGAAATGAATTCTTAATAATTCTTAATTGGTGTGGTATTATGGCCGGTGAGATTTAATTGAAATCATTGTTTCTATCTCCAACCGTTATAAGACATGCTTTGTGTTTATTCTCTGTAATTCAAGGACAGGTCAGCACAAAAATTTGGAAAGTGTTTTCAGGAAAATTGAATTTCATGAAAGAAAAATTCCAACTGCTTAGCTAATTTTTTTTGCCTTTCCTGCATAATCAGAACACAGGCTGTTGGGTTAGTGTGGGACATTTCCGGTGTCAATCAGGTACGATATAGGTTTACTTAAGTTTTTGTGGAGCAATTTCAGGCAGCTGTTTCCACATCCAGTCTAATTTCAAGCCTGTCCTGAGCAGTAGTACATATGATTCCAAGTATTAACTGAAATTTACACAGGCGACAAATTGTTACTTTTCTCTCCAAAATAATATTAGTTGATTTTTTTCAGTGTTTTCACCAGCAGTTTACACCAGATTTTCAGTTTTCCTGCTTTTATTTTTAATCTACCTTCCTTCCTAAAACTTTACAACTTGGAATCTTGCCAGGTGAAATCTTTTTCCTCCATAAATGTGACAAGCTGATGAAAGTCATAGACAGCAAGAATATATTTCATGTTTTAAAAAATCAACTACAGCATTCCATTGCAGTGAGATCATGTATCTAGAAGGATTATTATTATAAACTAGGGGAGGCTTGGTCCTAGACAACTGAAACTCATCCACTTGTAATGTCTTGAAATATACCCAATAAATTTATTGTATTGTATATAAAGCACTGGTAATTAAAATTATAAATTTGCTCTTTGAAGCATCTCACATTTCTATCTTTAAAAATTTCAAAGGGCTTGGGTAAAGCTGTTTATCAATAGAAAACATGTACAAGTTTTTCTGAGTCGGTATTCTGAACTGATGTTGGTAATTGAAAGCATTTTTAATATTTTATGCCTTCTGTCTTATTTAAAGGAATAAATATCTTATTTTTTCTGTTCAGCTTATTCTTCTTTTTTCTCTCTCCCTTTTTCCAAACCATCTCATTCTCACATGGAACTATCAGGTATCAGTTTCAAAAAATACCATAAATAGGGTTTTTTAAAAAGTAAAAATTTCTTGTAATTTTCCATGAAATCTTGGTTGATACATGGTCAGCTTCCAAAGCCCAGAAAACAATAGACCAACCAAGTATTTTCCTTCTGCGTGATAAGGGATGCCAGGTTTCCAGAAATATATCTGAAATCTCACCCCCCAAACACTGTCTCTTCCACAAAATTAACTCCAAGTTTTGTGCTCTGTTACTTGCAGCATCCCACTTCCAAATCTGTGACAGTTATATCTAATGCTTATTATAATAATGTCTTTAAAAAAGCAAAAATGGTGACACAAAAAACAGAAATATATTTTCTCTTACATAAAAAAAACTGGAGGGAAGCAGTTCTGGGACCTAGTCTTTTCCATCTTTCTCATCTGTGATCCGTAAGTCATCTCAAGACCCAAGATAGCTCCTGAGCTCTTGCCATTATATCCACACTTCAGTCATAAACAGATCCTTATTGGTTGAATTAGTTGGTTGAATTAATCCTCTCAGGATTTTCTCCTCTAATCTAATTGGCTTATAAGCCACCTGGCCCCAATAGCACCAAAGAGTCCAAGAGGTTGCCTTTAATTTGGAGAGAAATATTCCTACAAGCTTTGGATTCTGCTTCCAAAGAGGAAGAGAATAACATTGGAAAGCAAATTTCAGTCCCTGCCTTGGGGGTCATTATAGTTTTCTTTATAATGGTTCAATATTGAAAACAACGTAAATGGCCTAGAGAATAAATGGTTAAATAAAATGAAGTATGTTCGCATATTAAATATTATCTTGATATTTAATATGGATGTAGGTGACTATTGACATAGAAAGTTATCTACTATACATTTCTGAGTGGGAAAAATCCAGCATCTATAATGATCCCATATGTAAAATCATATCTGAAAATATTTTTTTAATATTAAGATTGGTTAGACAATCACTGGGGTTAATAATATTTTTGTATAATTTTACTTTGTTCTTTGTACTTTCCTGTGTGTTTTGAACTGTTTATAATGAGCATACACTGTTTACAGATTACTGCTGAAATAAAATGGCACTGAATGAAATCATCTTCAGTAATTTTTTGTCCTCTTAAAAATTTTTTTAATTTTTATTTTAAAATTCATTTCATTTTATTTTTGGGAGGTAGTTAGGCTTACTTATTTGCATAAGTTTTAGAGGCGGTGCTGGGGAGTGAACCCAGGACCTTGTATATGCTAAGCATGTCCTTACCACTTGAGCTACACCCTTCCTTCCCCTATTCTCAGTATTTCAAAAAAAGGCACTTCCTATTTGCACATCAGTCCTCAGCCAGTGGGATTTTTAATCTGCCCTGATAACACCAATTTCATACTGATAATACTATAAACTGTACTGAATATCATTATTTTAGTAACATAGTAATCACAAAGCAATAGTGAGGACTGTTTGTAAAAATCTTTGTTTGCTTGTTTTGTCTTAGACTACTAACTCCTGCTAATTTGAGTTTTGTACCAACTTTATTTCTTTCTGTGAGTTTTTAATATGGTGTTCAGTAGAAAAGAAATGATGTTTTGTTTTTGTACAAGTTTTAACTGCAGCAATTAATTATTTCAGATAGTCATTGCCCCTATTTTCATTCTATCAGATATGATCATATGTGAGACTTTGTCACTGAGAGGTAAGTAGGATATTTGAAATCTAAGTCTGCCTTTCCTATGTGTATGATGTTAAGCCCTTTGCCTGGTTCCCTACATCACTGAAATGGGCAGAACAATGACTCTTCTACTTACTTGAGAAGGTCTTGTAAAGGTAAAATGAGATAATTGACGGAGAATGTTTTGCAGAATTAAAAGTGGCATATACAATATTGGGGCAGGCTGGCTTATCTTAGAATCAAGGGGCTTATGTGACACTGGGTTTTCTAAGCAGAAGCTATCCTCTTTGGCACTGCCCACAACACCTGCAGCCAATGTGGCTAAACAGGTTGGTGGTTACTTCAAAGGGCAGCAGAAAACTGAGGAAAGCAGGTGTTACAAGAATGAAGACTAAATCACTAATCCAGAAATCCATCTTGGAAAAGCAACCATAATGTCTTGCATCACTTTCTTGAGCTGAGTGAGTTAACCTTAATTTATTGTGTAAATTATATTGTCTTAAAGGATGTTTTAAAATATAATATGCATGATTCTCCTAAAATATCTATTTGCAAGAAGCTCACCAATTCCAGACAGCCCAGAACTAAGCATTTAAAACTCCTTGCAGAGAAAAAAAGAAATCTCAAAAGATTAAGAACAAATTTCTCATTTTCATTTAATTAAAGCAAAAATATAGCCTGCTTATAAAAGTAGTCACTCTGAAAATACACACACACACATACACACACTATTATAGCATCTCCTTTGAAATGACATCTGTCTTAACCTCCGTTTTCACAGGTGGAGAGAATTGGGGCTAGAGATCTGAGGCTGCCGTTAGTGACACTTGAATCTCTGATTAAGTTGAATAAGTAGCACTGGAGGGACTTTGGGTGTTACCCTTCGCTTGGGTCTCCTGTTCAGCACCTGGACAAGCTTATATTGCCTTGGTAACCAAGCCAAAACCCTTTCTTACTGTTGAAAAGAATGATTGATGCTTATTGATTTCGATAGTTTGGGTGAATTGCGCTTTCTCTCCTCACATAGATGAGTTTCTCATTTTTCTTTTTTCTACTAAAGGGATTTTGTGAGGTATGTAAAACAGTAATCTCTTTACAACCCCCATGTATATATAGAGTTGTTTCCCAACATTTTAAGCTTCCTTGTATAATCCCCAGGCCTTTTGTGAGTTTTGTCCACTTTGAGGAGAGCCTTTGCATTTGCAGTAGAGACGCAGTTGACAAAGTCTTTTGAAACATGTACAGCCGTCCCTCGGTATCCTCCGGGTATTGGTTCCAGGAGCCCCGTGGACATCTAAATCCGTGGACGGTCAAGTCCCTTGTATTAAATAGCCAAGTGCAGTCGGTCCTTCATATCCACAGTTCCTCATCAGCAAATTTACCCAACTGAAATCCGTGATTAGCTGAAAACGCGGATGTGGGGAGCTAACTGTCCGAACTTTGTTACCCCACAGACAGAACAGCCCATGAACGCTCTGGTGATAAATGCCCCAGGCACTGGGCTTGGCTTCAACCACTATACTGAGACCTGTTCCAAGTAACTTCTCTACTCCTGTAAAACTTCCATCTCTAAAATATTTTAGACTTTATAAATATATCACCGGGATATTTACACGGGTCTTGCCTGAAATGTTTTCTAGAGTAAACGTAAAATTTTGTAATATTTTTGCTGAAAGCAATACTGCATTTTATTATTGTTATAATAATTATTGAAATTTGTTTTCTCCTTGCTTTTAGCTCTATGAGTACAGTGTCTTACATGGATGACCCTAGCCAGCGTGACGATGCCTCTCACCTTACAGTTCAGATGGAAAACACCTATCAGCTGGGTGTGTGCCTTTGTCACTCCCTATCTAAACATTCTAATTTCATGAATGATATTTACTTAGAATAATACCTGATAACCTGGCATTATCATCAACGCTAGCACAACATAAGGGCTCTTAATTAACTGAGTGATTTGATACTGCTTTAATGTCTTCCTCTGCAAAATGGGACCACTATCCATTGCCTACTTTTCTTTATCAGTATTTCCTAAATACCAAGCAATTCACGGGGCGACACTGAGCTGCAGTGTGTATTACTGAGTGAAGAAGTTCTCTGGGTATTTCTAGGTTACCTTGTGGCATTATTTTACATATACTTGAGTTAAATGAAGGAGATATGCATTAAAGTTTTATTGAACAAAACAACCCAAGGTTGCTGATAGGTGGAGAAAAAAGCCTTCAAGGCAAAGGCAAATGATTCCTGGTCCCCTGTTGGCAGAGATGTTTATCCCCTCCCACAGAGATTTTGGGTCTTGGAAAACAAAAATCTTTGCACCTGCCCCTATACCCCAGGTGGAGTCCACAGTGACTATCTTTTCCCATTTATGTTTCCTCATAGACCTACTTGTTTTCTGTAAATGCCTACCTGCCCACTATTATCTGGGTCTATATGTAATTACTGCTGTATAGAAATTCCACAGAGACTTGCCAATGACCAGAGGAAGACTCCATGGGCCAGAGTGGTTTCATCTGCGGCCAGTTAACCTCAAGAAAATTATAGACCATTGGCACATCCCATTAGACCTCCTGGCCAGTTTTCTACACTAATCCCCGAGACTGCATGGATTGTAAGACTCCACAATTAGTCTGTCTACTGGTATCTTCAGTGCCTGTGGTAGACAATGAATATTCCTGCCATCCGATGTCCATTTATATTCCTTCTGGTAACCATCCCCAGTTTCCTTTGGGGAAGCTCCACCACTGCCATCAGTACCACTTTCGGTCCATGGTGTTCTGCTGGATCTGACACTGGCTTCAGAGACGTAACAGTGGCTGATTCCGGGGTGGAATACCACACTTTGATTGGTCAAGGCCTTCAGAGTCTTTGAGATTCAATTCGGAAAGTGTTGTTTGGGTGGTCGAAGACGCAGATCACACCTTGAAACCTAAAAAGATGTAAGGGCTGAGATGGCTTCTGCCGTCTTGCACCCACAGGAAGCCTGAGGCCGAGGCCGGAATTCAGCTATGTACTCTTAGACTTTTCAGTTAGGCAAGCTAAGTGTGGGTCACGTTTTCTTCCCCTTAGAACTAAGATCTTAGCCGTTCGGTGCCTGTGGCTTTGGACTCTGTGTGCTGGAAGGGTTTGAATCACATTTCCACAAGATAAAGGAGCTGAAATATGAAACCTTGTGTTTCTTCTTCATAAGGGTATATTTTCTTGGCTCATTTCCTCAAACTAAATCGTCTAATCAGGTTTAGAAGTAATGAGTGTTGAAACAAGGTAGAAAAGTAATTTTGGAAATACTTTAGTTAAAGTATTTTCCATCTTTTCTTTCAAGAAGTCATTTGAATTGTTCTTTTATACTTAAAGTTTTTTTATACTTGACAATCCATTTTTTTGAGCATTCAACTAGCTATTTTGTTAATAATCAAAAACGTGTTTCCAATTCTACTTGTTTCTATTTATTTTGCATCTGAAAAGTATTCTGTGGGCCTTTGGTAAAGATTTTCTCTTATCTACACAACACAATACTGACCAGAAGAGTGAGGGAAAAAAATGAATCACCAGTATTACTGGGCTTAATTTTTCACATTCTTTCCAGTAATATTTGCATCATCCAAACATGCCTTAAATGTTTAGCATGTTCGTCTTCCCTTTATCTGAGTAATTACAGCCACCAAGAATGAGATGAAACAAGAGTGAGTATAACCAATGGGGGAAAAACAGGGAATAGAAGGATGAAAATGTATTTCTTGTAATGAAACACCACTCCATACATCTTCAATTAATGACCGAAACATGAATACAGAAGAAAATATAGACTGTAGAATCCAATGTCTATGAATCTGAATTCTGGTTTTGCAAATTCCTAAATAAATTATTTTTGAGCAAGATATTCAACATCCTTGAATTTCAGTTCCTTCATCTGTACGTAGGGATAAAAGTCCACACAGCATAAGGATACCGTGAGAATTAAATAAAGTATTGTATTTAAATTGCCTCTGCATTCATTATTTAATTGCTCCTCAAAGTAATGGGCTCTAGGACTTCACTTAGATCACTAAGAAGAAAAGCCTTCTGTAACATCCAGTATAATTTCCTATTAAGTATGGAATGAGTTCTCCACAGGACTTCTTCTGGAGCAATGATATGAGCACCACATCAGACAGGGACTATTGGTGGCCATCTTTGCTGCCATACAGAGACAGCTTAGCTGAGAATGAAGCCAACTGAATGAAAACTGGAATCCAAAGGTGGAGAGACATCATTTAAGCTCAACATCCATGAGATGATCAGGCGCTGTCATCAGACGCTTTGTTGGCCAGAGCCTGCCAGTCTCTCCGCACTGACTCTGCTCCACCCTCCAGGGTCCTACTTAACACCTTCGCCCATCTTGCTGCCTTCTCAGCAAGAGCAATCCGTGTCCTCACTCAGAATGCAGTAGCAACTATAATAGCAACAACACAAATAATAATAAATATCTAATGAGTGGCTTTTTGTGTGGCAGGTACTGTTCTGAGCATTTAAAATATTTCACCAATTTAATCCCAACCAAAAACAATATGTGGTAATTATTATTATCCCAATTTGGGGAAGCTAAGACACAGAAATATTAAATAACCTAATTTTTATCTATTCTCTCTTAAATCTATTTTTAGGGATAGTTTTTCCTTTCTTTAAATCTTGATCCTTCTTCAGGTTGTTGCTTTTTGCTTTCTGGAAGCATTTTTTCCTCCTAAAGAAAAAAGAAATCACTCTGAAAAAAAGAATTAAAAAAGCTTAGGCATTCACATTAGTTGACTCTGCCGTCTTTGGGAGCTGGTTTTGGAAGTCCAGAGCTGAACATTAATGCTTTCTCTCTCTGCACCTCAGCATCCCAGCCTGAGTTAGGCAATGGATGATCTGGCTGTATAGGGCCAAGGACACAAAGAAGTTAACAAAAGAAAAGTTTACTACTAGATTTCAGAATTTTTTCAGAATAGAATCTGGTTAACGAGATTTAAAAAAAAAACTACGCAAAGTGCAAAAAGGATATTAGTGACAGTGAGCAGGGGCTGTTGGAAACCAGGACTCTGGTGCCACCAGGATTCTGTCTCTTTCCAGCACTAAACTGCCTGTGGGCTCCTCTCCCTGTGGCCTGGCTTCCTTCCCACTGTGAGAAACATGGTCTCCAGCAGTTCTTGAGGGTCGCATGTCATAACTTTTGCCCCTGGAAAGAGACTGTTTTCCCCCTTAGTTCCAGTTTAAAATGAAAATCCCAAGGAAGGACTCTAAATGGCCTGGCTTGGGGCAAGTCCACCCAGGGCCAATCAACCATGACTTGGACTTGGGCTCACAAGACGTGATGATAGATCGTAAAGAACAACATGGTTTGAGTAGGAAGAGGACCAGTTCCTTCCATCTGGGAGAGGCTGTTCCTGAATGACAGGGAGCTGTGCTAGGTGGACAAATAATCTGCTCCGAAGGAATTGGCTGTTTTCTGAAAGGAACGATGCAGACAGTCACTATAATCCATGACTGAGTTAAGCTCCTTGTGGGTGAGAGAGGTCCAGTTAAGGTAAAGACATTATGAACGCTTGGTAGGAAGGAAGGCGTGAAAAAGAGAGGTACCGATCTAAAGGACATAATCTATTTTAATTTTTTTCAAGCTGGTAGTATCATTTTAAAATTTCCTTAAGTAAAAAGGTAGAAGCCACTCTTAAATTTAGCATCATTTTACTGGAGTATGCAAGTGGAAATCTTCTAGAAGAGCCATAGGACAGTGACACAGCAGATATGTGGGAGCTTGCCTACGGAGGCTGGTGCCCTGTCTCTGACCCCATGACGCAGGAGCAATCGGAGCCAACCCTCCAACCCTCCACAGGTTTATAAGGTCTTGTCGCTCTCCTGTATGCAGAACAGAGATGCCTGCTTATTAAATACTGGGGTTAATTATCATGCTCGTATCAGGTGCCTCTATTTCACATATAGACTGAGTCCAGATTCATTCCCCAGGTTGATTTAAATTTAATTGAACAATTTGTATTTAATCATCAAAACAAAAATACCATTCATTGAGCCCCAGGAGGCTGACCTAACTCAACCCTAGGAACAGGCTGTCACCTTGTTAAGTTCAGCCATCGGGAAACTTCAGCGGGAAGTCAGACGGGGAGGGGAGGGTGAATCCCAGCCTGTGGGCGTATCTCAGGCTGTTTGCATCCATCAACAGAAGGACAGAAGCTGCTCTCAAGGGAGCCCTCTCCACATGGCTCTTGTGCCATCTAGTAAGAGTTCCTTTTGCAGATCCTTCAAGCCTGGGGTTGGGATAAGGTGACACCCTCACTTTCCCGAGCTGAGGAGTGCTGCACATTCCTTCGTGATTTCCTACATCCTGCTCAGACCTTCTTAAGGAGTCTATTAAATCCTCCTGGAATTGTCCTAACTTTAATGCGCCATATGTTTCCTTGGACCCTGATTGATACTGTCATTAAAAATAAGCACTTAAACATACTGATGACTATTAAAATAGAATTGGGTGTGATTTTTTTATCTCATTCCTTCATATCAACTCAGCAAATAATGATCGAGTGTAACTTGTGCAGTCACAGCGAGATGATGAGGTTAATATTCCCGGGAGGTACAGATAAGATGCCTGGGGCACAGGATAAGATCCATCTGAAGCTTCTGCTCTGAAAGTGGACTAAATGTGGTTTAAAATTCAAGCTCTCAAGTCAAATAAACCTGGGGTACCTCCCAGCTCTGCCACCGTATGATTGTAGGCAAGTTACTCAAAATATTTAAACCTCTGTTTTCCCATCTGTGAAATGGGAAAAACAGTAAGATTCACCCCAGAGATTTATTGGGAGATTTTGCATACAAGATAATGAATATAAAATACCACGGTGGCTGACAGGTAGAAAATGCCC